TCGGTGGGGACGCAAGGGGAAACTCGGCCTGTTGGCTGGCCTGTGTGTTTAGGCTGTCTACAGGGTTGTTATTTTAAAATTAGCACTTTGATTTAAGTTGTCTACACTCTTGGCGGCCCGTCTCTAGTTGGCCAAAAGCCCCAAGACTCGGCGGCTCAAACTGAAACTACAGCTGCATTTTAGCCAAGGTGTTGAACAGCTGAGTGAAGGGTGAAGGGGTGCTGGGTACTCAGAGCTGGGAGTCCAACTCCAAGCTACAACTCCAACTTGATTGCCGCCACAAAAGGTTGAAGGTTAGGGCAAGATAAACTGTTGTTGATGGTGCCCAGAAAGCCATTATCCACATATCATCGCCGGGATGATTTCAGATGTGTTGCAATGTGCGGGGGATCGGATCGGTTCGGATCGGTATATCCCACCGCCCGATGATTATGCTGATGGCTCGGACAGTTCCTGGGAGTCGAAATGCCACAAGATGATGGCCAGTTGAATGATTTCGGCTCTAACTATGGCTATTCGTTTCCTGGTTTCCGATTTTATTAGTCATGGCTTTCTCCATGGTTTTCTATACGCCATCGCAGAGCAATAACATCTGGGTAATAAATTTGTTGAGCAGCGGATCTTGGTTATTTATTTTATTATGCATCATGGGGCTCACTATAAAATTCACACCTGTTATGACTCGTTTTGGTAATTTCCAATGGCACGAAGTAAAGTTTATTTGGCCATTTGCTAACATAATGCATTTTTTTTCAATTTTCTTTATGACGCAATTTTTGTGTTGTTACACTATTTTAATTTGTTTGTGGGTTGAATCTCTTTTTAGAAATTCTTTCTCTAATTTAGTTTATAATTTTGCAAGATATACATATCTTAAGCTAGATGTAGACGAATGTTCGATAGAAATTATTTAAGATTGCCATGAACAAACATACAAAATAAATGTATTTTTTGAACAAAAAAAATTTATTTAATATTTTTATTGACTGCCAGATTTTAAATGGATGTGATAAATGCTTACAATCTGTTATTTACCATCTCTACATGGATGCTATCTTTTTATATAGAACCCATCAATTATTTCAACTGGGGTCTTTTTAAAATCACTATGCAATCGAGCAACAATTTCCGTACTCTCCATTATCAGTGCAACTTCCTAGTCGATGTACGCACATTGTCGAGACCGCTATTCCATTGAGTTGATTAACCCAGAGGCATGTCTCCCCTTTTGGGTCGGGAATATCGCGATGCCAATTCCGAGGGGAGGGAGTTGTGGCCAGGTGAGAAAGAGCACGTCGCTCCGTTCTGAGGCGCCAGCGAGAAGCGATGAAAGAACCGCATCTGCCGCAATTACGGCGATGAGGTTCTGAGGAGAGCGTCACGTCTCCGGTTCTTAGGCCTCGAGATCGCTGATTCAGATGGAGATGGCGATCGAGATGGAGATCGAGATCTGGCCGCAGTTGCTAATCAACTCGTTTATCGGCCTCAGATCCGCCAGCGTAATCAATCATTGGCCAGATATACAAGCGTGTGGATCGAGCTTATCTGATCCGTAGTTGGGACTCTCGACTGGCACGTAAATCGCTTCCGGCGGTCTCTGCAACTGGCTCTTATCACGGCCATAATTAAAATCATTAAAAGCATCTCAAACATACAGGAACATAATAATGTTATATTAATACTTTCTTAATTATTATTAAAATAAAGAAATTAAAAAATCTTTATAAACTAAACTACTAAACGTATATTTAAACAAGATTTATAAAAACTATCATTTGTGAAACTTTAAGTTAAATATTATCGATCTTCCATTTCCAACTACGTAAGTTTGACCGAACAACAAAATGAATCGAAATGAAATGACGTGAAATGCCGATGGGCATTAAAATGCATTCGAATCGGAACACATTTCACTACTAATCAGAGCGATAGCCGGCCGTTGGACTGCGGTTCGGAATGCTCATGCATTTTTAATGCCCCATTTTGTGGCCGGAAGGAAGCGCAACACGTAAACGTGTTAATATGGACAGCACAATCTATTAATTTGTCAACAATAAAGTAAGACAAGCGACAGGCGACATCGTCCCCGAATGAGAGCATTGATTGGAGGCACCAGGATGGGCTGTTCTGTTCGTTTCTGTTCTGCTCCGAAGTTACTGGCCAGTTCCCAAGTTTTGGGGAAAGGGAAGGCTTTCAGGTTGTTGTCAGCACAGCAGGTACGAAATTAATATGCGAGCAACAATTAAGATAAGCGCGCAAAGTTGTGAAGTGACTGCTGCGAGGAGGGCGCAGTCGGTGGCCCCAATTGAGGTTGTCCGGCGACCACAGCAGCCGCCAATGACTAAGGCGACAACAAGCTGGCAAGTCGGGGAAAAAACTCCTCAAAGTAAAGATCTCACTGAGAAAAAAATCATACAATAACTTGTACTTCTTATTAAGTAATATATAATTTTAAATCATGTATGGGCTTAGGGTATCAAAACACTCGTAAATCCTTTAGTAAACTATTTACATATAATTGAAACCAAAAACAATATTGTTAGTCCTTAAAAAAAATCGAAGTAATTAGTTTTGGACCAAAACTTTTGTTGAAGTTGTATTACCCAACATATAAGGAATGCCACATTTGAAATATATATAGCAATTCTGACTTTATTTTTTAATAACATTTCATTTCTATTTTCTATTTTTTCTGTTTTTTTTTATCAAATAAAAACACCTCTTAACGAGGTAAAAAACTAGTGACGATCGCACCTTCAACATACAAAAGTTCTGATATCAACATTTGTGACGAAAAATTATTACACTCGTCATTAAATAGACTTTCTAATATTTTCTCATTCGGCCCGCCCTAGCAAACTATTCCGGTCTTTTTCCCTTCACAGGCATTTTCTATTGCAGCGTGCCGAATGAGAAAATATTAGAAAGTCTATTTAATGACGAGTGTAATAATTTTTCGTCACAAATGTTGATATCAGAACTTTTGTATGTTGAAGGTGCGATCGTCACTAGTTTTTTACCTCGTTAAGAGGTGTTTTTATTTGATATCAGAAGTTTTTGTTTGTTTACATTTGCTCTCATAGGTGCTAATATAAACATTTAAATTTAAATTGGTCATAAATCATAATTTTGAAACTATTGTATTTTAACGAATTCAGTTAAAAAGGCGTTCAAGTATTTCAAAATACCTTTTAAACGAGGTATAGCATATGTCTGTACCTTTAGTAGTGTAGAACTTACAAACTAACGAAATTTAGCTATTTTTAGCTTTTTCCCGCTAAAGTAGCGGCTTTTTCCAAAAGTCGTAGAACAAAAGATTCCTATATGGAACTCTTAAGTGCAAATTTACTGATTCCATGACACTAAAATACAGTTCGGATACCCTCTCACAAAATTCAATACTCAGGGAGCGTTAGTAGTTCGAGCTTGCAAAAGTGGCTATTTTCGTATAAAAATAACTTTTAAACGTGACTTTTTACAGTAATGTGTTATATACCAAAATTTAAGGAATCTCAAGGGCTATACAGTTTAAAGTTTTAAAGAAAATCGTTAGAGCCGTTTTTGAGAAAAATAAAAAAAAGCCAAAAAAAAAAGTTTTAAAAAATTGTCTTTTGTTCATATTTTTTTAATTATTACATTTACACAAATTGCATATAGAAGGCGTTTATAGCATTTAAAAATACCTTTCAAACGAGATGCAGCACAAGCCTGTAGCTTTAGTAGTATAGAAGTTACGGCTTTCCGAATTTTAGCTATTTATAGCTGTTTTCCCGCTAAACTAGTGAGTTTTTCCAAAAGTGGTAGAACAAAAGTTTTTTATATCGATGTGATCAACGTCATATCAAATTTTCAAAACTTAAGAAACATGTTTTGGACAAACTGACAAACTGACAAACTGACAAACAGAATTAAATTTTCATTTTGGGAAGACGAAGAAAATCTTATTTTGGCTATAACTTTTGAACGGAGAGTCGGATTTTGACAAATGACCCCTCATTCGACGGGTATTTTCAAAAGGAATACAATTAAAACATTGCGAGGGGGCATTTATCCCCAGCGGCCCCAACAGCTCCAAATTTCGATATTTTCACTTTTTCACTTTCATTGCTCTCTCTTCCAAGCCAATTGATTTTCTTAAAGTCTTGGTATGCAATCCTGTTAGTTTTTGCAATACCTTTCGATAGGTGTATCATTCATTATGATCGGACCATCACAGTAGATTTTCATTTCTTCGTGTATATATAGTAGTCGCCTTCGCACACTCTCCTGGTGCGCTTCGTCACTACATGGACTGCCGTCCATAGTGATTTTTTAAAATAGTAATTATTTATACATAAAAACACTGTAAGTTTTTTTTTATTCTTACCAAAATTTGATTTTAACATTGTGGCTTTTCTTTCTGTGCAGAGAAAACCAAGAGAAGCGATCTCGATCGCACCTCGCCGACTGCTTCCTCTCACAACCAGACTCTGCGGTAGCCCAAAAAAACAACCAGAGCTGCGAAAATATTTTATACAAGTTGCAAAAATTTAACCACATCCATTAAGCAAGACCTTGATGACAAACGGCGGCAAGTCTTTCGTGCGATAATAATAAGTATTCATTTCAGATATAATTTTTGTCGCTCCTTCCTTTTGCCATCGGTTTTTGTTATTTTCGGCATGCCCATACCTATAATAAAAATTGAAGCTGCCCTTTGCTGATTGCCGATTATATTTTGGGTGGAATGTTTATATTAAATTAATGGCCGGCAGAGGTGATATCTTTTAAGAATGCATGTTTAAATTGATATTTTTTATGATTTAAAAATATCTTCTAATATGGCTAAAGATTTTAAAAAATGTAATCAAATATAATGATGTTATGTTTGAGAATAAAATATAATTAGATTTAAATTTTAAAGCCTACGAAATGCATACCTCCACAGAAAATTTGATTCCTATACAGAAGTATAATAAATAATTTTAAAAAAAACATAAAAAATAAATCAATCTCCAAGGTTTGCTATAGTCGTATCTATAGTTTATTTGGCTGCTTGCACCCGCGTAAAGACTTTAACTGTTAGTTTACACTGCATACTTGAAGTACTCCTCCTTTCCGGCGGCATCTGCCTTCATGGTCTTGGAACCCGGACGCCAGTTGGCCGGGCAGACCTCTCCGAACTCATCGCTAAACTGGAAGGCCTGAACCAGACGCAGTGCCTCATCCACACTGCGACCCACGCCCATGTCATTTACGGTGATCTGCCTTATGCGTCCCTCGCGATCGATGATGAACAAGGCACGTAGAGCAAGTCCTGTGGCCTCGTCCAGAACTCCGTAGTCCCTGGCTATCTGCATGTTCTTGTCCGCCAGCAGCGGAATGTCCAACTCCCCCAGACCGCCGTTCTTCCGCGGCGTATTCATCCAGGCGCAGTGCACAAAGTGACTATCCGTCGAACAGGCCAGGACCTCACAGCCCACGTTCCGAAATTCCGGAGCCCTGTCGCTAAATGCCTGCAACTCCGTGGGGCAAACGTACGAAAAGTCCGCCGGATAAAAGACCAGCAGCACGTATCTGCCACGCAAATCGGTTAGGGAAAAATTCCGAAAGCCACTAGCTACCACTGCATTGGTAGTAAAATCAGGAGCCAGTTGGTTTAGATTCAGCATCCGCATCTTGGTGTTTTATTGTTTTTTTGTAAGAGAGTTAGAGTTTTTTAAGGTTTTGAGAAAGTTTTGATTTACTGGGTCTGAGATATAATAAAGAATTATCAAATAGGGAGTTATAAGAATTGGGTTACTATATATTTTAAATACAAGAGGAAGACAAAAATATATATTGCTCATTTTATGATTAACTTTATATATTTACACAATTTAAAGAAATGTGCACTTTATATATATGTATATATCATGCATTTCCAACATTTTCCCCCCGAATTCATATTTCAATGGCCATTCTCTTGTAATTTCATTTAATTTTTGTTCATTTCCCACTCGAATTTCCAACTCACATCTAACCGACAATCGTAACACGATCAGCCCCAATTAGAGTGTCCTTTTGGCAACATAAACCGAATGGCAATCGATTAAATTGAATCCAATTCAATTATGTGAACGGGGGGTCGACTTCCACCTTCCACCTGCCGTGGGATGGGCGTGTGAAACGATTGTTGTGTTAATTTCGCATATGACACCTACTGCCGGCGGGGAAATTCGAGCATTTTATGCGGTTTATTGGCTTTGATCGATTGAAGAAGGCGTCGCATTTTTTATGCGAGCGCCAGTCATACGGGTCGGGTTTCTTGACAGCTCATTCAGTGCGGTCTGTCCCGCTTTTTCACCGCTTTTTTAGCATATGTTTTTATGCCAATGTTTGGGCTGGTGAATTATTTGGAGGCGATTTAGCAGCACGTCAATTACCGCCGGCCACCTGATGACAGTTGCAATTAAAAGCGGTGGATAGAACACGAAAACGCGGGGAAAATAGTGGCCAGCCAACATGGATGGATGCCTGTTAATGGACATGTAAACTGCAATTAAAACAAGCCGATGGGGAGGTGCCAAAGTCGTCGGGGATGGGGGCCTCCAAAATATTTTGACTCGGCCCGCTAACATGGCCCGCTGTCTTGGTCTTTTCTTTAATTAAAATATTTAAGCACGCAAATAGGCCTGTCTCTCCATCTGTCCATGCCCAAGTATACCCGTCAGCCCCCATATACTCGAAGAACTCGTACATTTCCCGGGGTTTGGGATCGGGATCGGGTTCGGGCTCGGGATCTGCGGGAAAACTCAACTGGGCGTGTCCACGATAGTATGGCATAGAGTACGGAACACGGAGCTGCCGTTGTGCGGCTTTAATCAAAGTTTTTGCCAGCGGGGAATCAATCATTTGAAATTTAAACGTCATCGTGCGTCAGACAACTCATAAGACAAACCAACAGTAACAGCGGGCGAACCAGCCCAGGTTCAACATTTCGAGATGGAATCGTGAGGGACTGGAATTGGCAAGCCATTAATTTGGCGAGTTAAGAAAAGTATAGAAGTACTTATACGATTGTATAAAAAAGGTGTTTTTAATTTATATGATTTAATTTAATTCTTCATTGAAGTGGAATCGTGGGATACTGGATTCAAAAAGGCTATATAAGTATATAGTGTTATTTCACATTATAATATAAAACCTATATTTCATTTAAATATTCCTAAAAAGTACGTAAAACCGTTTTTAACAAATTGCATTATAAAATTTATGTAAAACACAACCTAAGTAATTTTAAAATATCCAATATATTCATTACAATTTTTAAATATTTAATTTAATTATTTATTTATTATTTTTGAAGTAAGCTGTCTGATATTCGCTCGTGTCACGATCTGCAAAGTAAAGCCCTGACCCATCCCAAAAGACCATTGAATGCGAATGTGGCGTGTCCGAGTTTTTAGCGAGTTGCCTCCCAGACCAAGAAAAAATCAACCAAAACCAAACCCCCGGCCAGCGGCCAACGCAATCACAAAAAGCATTTTTCTTTCTTAAGGTTTGTATTATTTTTTCGTGTATTTGTGTTTTTTATTTTCTGCCGGCCTGTCTTCATGTTTCGCCGTAGTTTTGTTAATGAAAGCCAAAAGCGAAATTAATGCGTGTGGCCAACGCCATCAGCAGCGCCCCCAGCTTATCACTGTCAAGCGATCTAAACTGGAACTGGACCTCGTTTAGGCCAAGTCGAGCTGGGCTGAGAGCTGAGAGCTAAGAGCTGATCTGCTGGTGTTTAACCGAATTTATTTGCCAAATATCTATAGAAATTTATTTGATTCGGCTCATGGGAAATTTATGCGCCTGTCGCATGGCCTTTTGTGTTCGGCATTTTGTGTTTGTGTGTTCTCTGTTTGCGCATAGATTTTTAATAAGTGATAAACATTTGAAATGACAATTTTAAAGTCGATTAATTAATTAAATGGCAATTGAATATGCCAGCGAGGCCCAAAAAACACGGGCACGAAAACATGATGGCACAATAAAATACACAAATTGATTGATTTTCGGCTTTATACGCATATATTTTGATTTCGTTGGTGTTTTTATCGTTAGGTTTTTGTTTCAGAATTAATACGAATATTTTCGAGAATTGGTTTACGGCCGGTTTGTTATCTTGAATAAGTAAATTGAATGGTTATTCAGTTTGAACCTCTGGTTAAATATTGCTCTTTTTATGTTTTGACATTTTCATGACACGATTCCGTGTTTAAAGATAACCGAATTTAAGTAAATTAAATAGAATGCTGATATGGCAATTATTCACGCTACAGGGGAGGTGTAGTTTTCTGGCTGAAATGGTGTTTAATAAGTAAAATACGATATGTTTTTTTCTGTTCACGCAGATATCTAGCAAGTGATAGCATATTTAGGAAAAAAAATGTCAAAGTCAAGAAAAACACAAATGAGCATAATTAAATGGAATACCTGAGCTAAAAACGTGAGATTTGAATTTTTCTTATTGTGCACCTGGAACACTGTGAGGCACAAAAAACAGGTGATAGCATCTGCACTTAAGTGGTTCAAACTGTAGCTCGACAAAACACATATTTTAAGTCCGTTGGTATTTCCGGTAAATCCAATAAGTTGAAATTAAAGTAAATATTTAGTTTGCCTCTTATTGTATGCTAAATATTTTTGTCCCTTAAAGATTTAAATTAAAAATGTCTTTGACGTTTATGTGTGAGCAGTTTAGACCCAAGACTAAATTAAAGAAATATTAAAATAATAAAAGCATGAAGAGAGATATTCAAATCAGAGTCTAAGATGTTATTTCAATATTATTTACTTACACCTCAATAACAAAATAAACTTATCGCCCATTTAACGAGGCATGGAAAATGCCCCTCAACTCGGCCTCTGAAAATTCCAATCACACGCCCAGCCAGCCGCCCTCCCAAAACAATCATGATGGATTGAAAAAGTCTTTAACTTTCGTATTATTCTGCTTCCCATGGAACGCCTTGTTATACGCGCATAGTTCAATAGTTTGAACTCTTTTTAATTGATCTTGATTAATCGCACACCACACACAGATACGAAAAACCAAATACAGATGCCGCCCAAGGAGGCGGAAAGCAGGCTCCCCATATCGAATCGGAAGCACGACCATTAATTACGCTTTAATTACCCGCCGAAAAAAAAAACGGAAAAAACAAAAAAGAGATATAAAACGCATGGGGCAAAAACCTTAATAGTTTCGCCTTATCAGCATAGAGTTTCGCTCGCCAGCACTCCTAATTTCATTAGTTTAATGGCACAAAACTGTGGAAAAACCAACAAAGCAACGAAAACACCGACGAATGGCTACCAAACTACGCAAAACGTGCAGACGGGGGAGCAACAAAAAAATTGTTAACAATTGTGAGAATAAATTGCTAAATAATTAAGTGGATCAACGGCCGGCGGACCGAGTGGAGCAGCTCGAGAGATCTCAGACTCCAAATTGCATATGATTAATTAAAGGAAATAAAATGCTGACGACGGCAGCGGCCACTAGAGAATGAGTAGCAGAAAAATACAAAAAATAAGAGGAACGAACGAAAATCTTTTTCTTTAATTAATATTGAAGTGAAGCAAACCGAAGTTCAGTAGCGAACCGACAGCCAACTTCCAGAGCGGCAGAAACTGGAAACTGAAGACTGAAAACTGAAAAAAACAAAGACAGGAGGCGTTTTTCAACTCATTAACGTTCAAACAAATTCATTTGCATATCTCTACCTGCCCCAAATTAATATTCCATGGCTTCAACATTCTTCTTGACTTTTTTCCGTAAATTTGAAACGCTTAAGAAACGAGCTGAGAAATGGTCTCACACACAATTTGAACTGCAACACTGCTCAGTCAGTTCCCCCGCCGTTTATTTTATTTCAGTTTCCTTTGTCTAAATGATTTTTATTAACATTTTTGCTCTTTGCGTCAGGTATTCGAGTAGGGACACGCATTTGCTGTGTCACTGCAGCCGAGCGTGTCAGTGCTGCCAGCTTAGCTGCTTTACTGATATATTTAATGCTATGTAGTTTTTTTGGGGGCTTAGAATTAATATTTAATGGATCTGAAACTTTGAATATATTAAGCCCTTTTACAAAATTTAAATCAATGGAACACTTCATTTTTAGTTGGATGGAAAAAAACTAAAAATCTTACAATTCAAGAGGATTTTTAAAAAAAGTATTTGAAAATGATTGATAACAGTTATTTAGATATTACTACTTCACAATTAAAGTTCAGATGCTTAATATTAAAATAAATTTTTAAGACTTAAACTAAAAAAATTATTAATAAAGGTGGATAGATTTTTGTTTATATATCTATTTATTTTATTCCATTTATTACTGTAGATATGGTATAACTATCTAGCTTTTTTTTTGACCAATCTAGCTAGCCTTTCGTATATTTTCACCTCAGTGGATAGGCGATCGTAGAAAATAGAGAAGGGGAGTTCCAAAGGGAAAGACGCCGGCGCATACGAAACGGGGTCCAAAAGCCGAGAGCTGGGCGTCAACTGCATGCCATGCGTAAATGCCAAAAGCAGCGACCCTCGTCTTAACCCTCCAGAGCCCCGCGCGTCTTATCTGCTTGTATTCATCTTGAAAATTGTTTCTAGTTGAAGTTTGCCTTTTAATTGTTAGGCGCAAACAGCCGACCGACCGGCCGACTAAATTAAATTTATACTGTTCCCGTCTCAGTCGGCATCGGCGGTCTCTTTCGCACCC